CGCCGCTACTCCGGCATTGCTCTTCATTTACGCTCGCCTTCTTTTTCCCCTGACAATAATAATCTCTCTCTCTCTCTCGTTAGTTAATTTAGGTTAGAAGCTGTCTTTTCTGCCGCTCTTTAGACACATATTTTTGTTTTATTCATGTTGAAGATGAATTTCTTTTCCTTCCGTATAATCCTCTCTCGCTTGGGAAGTAATAAGTTGGTTCGGTGGGAGAGCTGTTAGTTGTTGGTCTCTTCCCTCCGCTGAGTAATCAGAAATAAGGAAAAGTGATTGATCTATCGTACTCTATTCTACCAAAGTTAGACCTTTATACGGTCTTTCAGTGCGAATTCTCTGTTAGTGTAGTCAAGGGTTGTCTACACTTAAAGCCGCTCTTTTAATCTGCAATGAATAACGGTCTATGTATGTAAGGAGTATCCTGTAAGTTCAAGAATTTACCCGCTGTTAGGCATGCCTGTCGTAAGAGGCGACTTAAATTCAAGAGTTTCTGCGATAGTCAAGCTTTTATGCCTGAAAGGCTCGGATTTTTATTCCGCCAAGGACTGTCACTCCCACCAATTTTGGGAATAATTTTGGCGTTATGACAACAACAATGGGCTAAAATTCCTGATTCATTTAATTAAATCCCAAACAATATACTTACAATTCGTGAAAGATCTTAAAGCTTCTTTAAATAAAATTAATTAAAATGGTTTATATTCAATGATATTTATTTATTGATTAAGATATTGCTATTAATTAACACATTCAACTGCCCTTTTAAGGAGCAAATTAGTTTAATATTATATATGTACATAAATTAATTGCGCCCTAAAAGTATACATACTCACACATACACCCTCTTTAATTTCAGCAGTTAAATTAACATTGCAATACTAATTTCCATTTTTAAAATACTTTATGTATATATATGTATATATGTACATATTTGTTTAAATCGTAATTTATATTATCATAAAGCAACAATTTGTCAGCTAAAGTTTAATACATATTATATATAAATATTTATTAGAATTATTTATAACAAGAGAATTGTTATTGCTAACATACTCGTGCATGCAAAGCGATACATAATTGATATTGCATTTGGGTTTGATATATTTATATATTTATAAATATGTATGTGTGTTTATTTGAAATAAAGAACAACCTTGTTGATTTATGCTTGTAGCTCAGTGAAACATATGTACATATCGTATATATGCATTGAAATAAAAAAATTATTTACTCATTTTAATTATTATATTTTTTATATATTTAGATTTATTTATTTTTAGCTGAGCTTAATCAATTTTTATTAAGGACTATAAGGATGTAATAAAAATTTAATTATTTTTAGAAAATTTTTTTCTAAAATGTTTGAGACAAAATTTAGTTGAAAAAAATTGTTTAGTTCATGTTTGGAAATATTTTCCACAAGTAATAAATTTGTTTTACATTTTATATTATAAAATCTATGAATGTGCCGAAAAGTTGGAAAATAGTTGTTACTTACTATAAAAATAGGTAATTTCTTCTTTAAACCTAATATTATATAATATAAAATATTTTTCATTTTTATGTACAATTCTATTTTTCATTTAATTAAACGAAACCGCCTTGGAGTAATTTACTGATTTATATCTATGAACTTTTGAATTGGGTGTTTAATTTTTTAATTTTGTGCTAACAGTTATCTTCAAAATACAGCAACAACAACAACAATGTGGAACTCATAATTTAAATAAAAATTTAGAAAAATTAAAAATAAAATGAAATAAACTTCTAAAGAAAAAATATATTGCATAAAAATTGTGAACTTAATTCGAAGTAAAATACAAAAGCAAATACAAAAATAAATAAAATAAAACTAATTTGAATTAATATCATTTGAAACCAAATCAAAATAAACTAACTAAATACAATAAAAATCAACACTAACATTGCAACTAAAATTATAATTTAGCTTAAAAATGAAAATAAAATTAATTTAATTAAATTACACCTACAGCCGAAATAAATTCAAAATAATTAGAAAAATTAAAAAAAAATATTTAATAAATTCAAATAAAATAAAATTTAAATTAAATTTAAACTTATTAAATCAAATAAGCAATATCAAATAAAAAAATTAAAAATTAAATAAATGTAATTAAAAATAAAATGAACTAATATAAAACAAAATGAAATAAAATATAATAACATCAAATCACAAAAAAATTTAAAAAAATCCCCACACAAAGTAAAGCAAAATAAAATAACACGAAACTAGTAAAAAAAATTATAATTCAAAAAAATTAAATACAAGTATAAAATAAATAAAACACAAAAACATAAAATAAAATAAAATGAAATAAAATTAAATAAAAAAAAAGTTTAAGAAGGAATAAAGTAATATATAATAAAATAAATTTAAAGAAATTAATTTAAAAAAATAAAATTGAAAAAGCAAGACATAATGAAATAAAATAAAATTAAATCATAGAATTTAAAATAAATTAAATATAGTTTAATAATATAAAATAAAAGAATAAAATAAAATTAATAAATTCAAAATAACCAGGCCTTGTAGTTTACTTAATACTTATATCAAAAATTATTATATAGCATGGCCGCAAAAACAAATTAAAAATTAAATTTAATTGAATTAAGGAAAAAAATAAAATATAATATAATTAAACAAAAAAATAAAGAAAAATATAATGAAAAACACTAAAAAAAATTAATATAATATAATATCAAGTAAAATAAAATAAAACAAAATAAGATATTATAAATAAATATATAATAAAATAGAACAAAACTAGGTTAAAAATAAAAATGTAAAAAGAAATAAAATAATGTATAATAAAATAATAAAAGAATATTTAAATTAAATTAAAAAAAGTATAATGAAATAAATTAAAATTAAATTAACGATTTTTAAATAAATCAAATATAGTAAAATAAAATAAAATAAAATAATAAAATTAAATTGAATCATTTTAACAAGAAAAAAATTAAATTTAAATTAAACAAAAGAATAAATAAGATAAAATAAAATGAAAAATATTAAATAAAATAAAAATAAGATAATATAAAGTAAAATAAGAAAAAACAAAAGAAAATAAAAAAAATAAAAAAATATAATGACATGAAATAAAACTGGGTAAAAAATAAAAATTTAAAAGAAATGAAGTAATGTATATTAAAATAAATTTAGCAAAAATTTTAGAACAAAATTTAAAAAATTTTATAATGTAAATTAAAATTAATTTTAAAAAAGTTAGCTAAAAGAATTTAAAGTAAATCAAATATATTGATATAAAATAAAATAGAATAATATAAAAAAGCAGAACGAAATTAAAATAAATGAAATAAAATAAAATATAATGAATAATATGAAATAAAATGAAATAAAAATAAATTAAATAATATAAAGTATCTCAAATATAGTGATATAAAATAAAATAAAAGAAATAAAATTAAATGAAACAAAAATATATTAAATTAAATTAAAAATGTAAGCAAAATAAACTAAAATAAATTAAAATATAATTAAATTAAATAAAACTAAGTTAAAAAATAAATAAAAAGAAAGAATTCATATAAAATAAAATAATACAATAAAATATAATAAAATAAAATGTCATCAAACAAAGCAAAATAATATAAAATTTAACGATATAAAAACAAATCAAATTGAATTATATAGAATAAAATACACCAAATTAAAAGTTTAATATATTAAAGAAAAAGAAATTTTAGTTAAAAAGAACAATATAAAATGAAATAATATAAAAAGATTCTAAATCAAATAATATAATATAATAATAATAAGATAAAGGATAATATAAAAATTAAAAAATTTATAATAAAACAAAATTAATTAAAATTAAAACTTAAATTTATTATGACAAATTAATGCACAATAAATTTAGAAACAAAATAAAAAAAATTATTTTTGTAATCCAAAGTAAAATAACATGAAATTAAATCAAGATATAATAACAAGAAAATTAAAAGCAAATGAAATGACCCAAAAAAACGCATTTGATTGAAAATAAATTTGAACAGTAAGTGCAACATATAATTATATAAAATTAAGCAAAATGAATTGAAAAAACTCATTTGCTTTATTTTTACTTCTCTTTGTTTTAAATAACATACATACATACATAAATGGGTTAAAAATTAATTTAATGTAAAAATAAAATTAATAAATAAAAATTAATTATAAATTAATAAAATTAAACAGGTTAAATAATTTTTAAACATAAAAATTAAATTCAATTAAATTTTGTTAAATGAATTGAAATAAAATTAAAAATAATCAAACGAAAATAAGTTCAAATAAAAAAATTAAATTCAAATAAAAGTTAGTTTTTTAAATAAATAATTTAAAAAAAAATAAGAAAATGATATGAATAGGAAATGAAGTTAAATAAACTAAAAATAAAAAAAATAAAGTTTTGCAAAATACAACAAAAAAACAAAAGAATTAAATTAGATAAATATAAAACTAACAAAAAAATGCCAAATAAAACAACTTAAATTTAATCCAAATAATTTAATTAAAAAAAAATAAACTATAACAAATTAGTTGAAGTAAATTCGATTAAAATTAATTAATAAATTAAAAATAAAATATAATAAAACAAAGAAAATTTTTTTTAAATAATTAATTAAAATTAAATGCAGTGAAAATAAGAGAAAAATAAGAGGAAAATAAAACAAATGAAAAAAATCAAATAAAATTGAATTATATACTATAAATTAACTAAAACATATTTACATTATTAAAATTTATTTATTTATTGTTATTGTCGTTGTTGTTCTTTTTTTTTAATTTTTTTTCTTTTGCACATATCGCATAGCACACGCACCGCTTTTTAACACATTTAATTTTACAATATTGTTAATTACTTTGGTTTGAAGTTGTATTTAATGTGTTTGTTGTAGTTTTGCACAAAGCGAAGCAAGCTATTTGAGCTGTAAATTTATGCAATTAATCTTTGTTCATACTTATGAATTTTTTTTTTTTTTTGATTATTATTAGATTTTTTTTTTTTGAATTTGCAGTGCTAAGTACGAAGTATATATTTCCTTGCGTCCGTCAAGTGTCAGGTTTCCTACATAATTAAGCGACTGGTTCATGGACCAACGCGATGACTTGCAACAAAGAAATAAACAAAACGATGCTTACCTTCACTCGCAGCGCCACACTTCTTGCATTACATGCACTGCACTCAGACCAACGACGCCACTCACATATGTACATACATACGTACGTACATACGAGTCAATATGTCAATCACAAGCGCGCCTCCGAGTCAGGTTTGTCAAATTTATTTGTAATGCAATCCGTGCGCGTAACAACTGCTTCACGCGATTAGAATGGCGCGCGCGTGGTTCGCTTAGCACAAACCACAAACACCAAACGCCTGTCGCTCGGTCGCGAAAAGCGCTCGGGCTCAGCGGTCATGCTTGGTAAGCTGTAGTGGCGCCTTATTGCTCACTGCCGACATTTCGGTAGCTTGATTGTTGTTGTTAGTATTTGCACCGTCATTATGTTTGTTGCTATTGTTATTATTATTGTTATTGTTGTAGCTATTGTTCTGGTCGCCACGCGATGTACGTTGCACCACTTCCAACTCATCCTCCGAGTCGTCATGCACATTGATCTCCTCCTCCGAGTCCTCGGACGAATCATCGACAGTCACCAGCTGTTGTTGTTGTATCTGCTGCTGCTGTTGATGCGAGTGGTGTTGCTGCTGTTGCTGCTGCTGGTGTTTGAGCTCATCTCCCATGCTGGCGACATTCGCTGACAACGTCGCCGCAACCGCATATTGTCGCACCAAATGCGCAAAAGCCGCCGCGGAGGGCGAGCCCACCAGCGAACGGAAAGCGCTATGCTCACCGCCCATTGATAATGGCGCTGATGCTGTGGGCGATGTGCTGAGTGGCTGTTGTTGTTGCTGCTGCTGCTGCTGCTGCTGCTGATGTGTGCTCGCTAAAGTTGCCGCCAGCGTTGCTGCCAAGTGTTGCTGCGGTGCTGTCTCCGCGCTCAACTCTGCTGCTGGATGTTGGGATTGTGCCGCAGCTGCAGCCGCCGCCGCCGCCGCATAATGGGCTTTGGCAGCAAATTGTTGCTGTTGTTGGTGATGCTGCTGTTGTTGTTGTTGCTGACTGTAGTGATTCAGCAACATTGTCGCCGTGGTAGTGCTCGCTGGGTGGGACGGTGCGGCGTGATGTGTCATATGGTGTCCGTGCGCACGCAGCTCTAAGTCGCTCCCTTGTGCACTTGCCGACGTCGCCGACGACACCTGACCGCCATGTGTGGTGTAGTGATGATGTTGGTGGTGGTGGTGCTGGTGCTGGTGCTGGTGCGACTGTAGTTGGTCCGCGGTCGCACAGGTAGAGGTGTTGCTGTTGCTGTGACAACTGGAGGTCGGTGAAGCGGCTACGCCCATCGCTGACCCGTGACTGTGGCTGAGGCTGCTGTTGTTGTTGCTGCTGTAGTTGGTGTTGTTGTTGTTGTTGTTGCTGCTGCTTTCGGGCGACGGCTGTGAATGCGGAATGTGTGGATGACCGGAGGGGCTGGAGCGCTGCTTCAAGAGATTCATGCGCTGATGTCGGCGCCACTTGGCTCTTCTGTTGGAAAACCAAACCTGAATTGATCAATGCGGAAAGGACGATGTGGTTAGTTCAAAAATAAACGCGACTATAAATGCGAAAGCAGCGAATAAGAGAACAGAAAAATGTACGCAATGAACAGCGTCATGAATGAGTGAAGGCAAATAAAAACGGAATAACGGTTAAAAATATAGAAGCAGTACGAGAATGAGCGATAATCGAGTTATGATAGTGATACACCATAAATACAGCAAGGATCTTGGAAGAAAATGTGGTAAAATGCTTACAATGATAGATAACGATAAAGAAACGTCTATAAATATTGATTTGGAAAATCACCTTTTTAAATAAATAAAACTAGAAAATAAAATTTTTTTACTCACTTGCACACGCGCCTCACTCAACGACGTACGACTCGACAAACGTTCGCGTGTACTAACACAAGGATAATGACTCTTATCGAACTCCTTCTCCAGCTCTTCCAATTGCTCTGGACTGAATGTGGTGCGATTGCGCCGAAACTTCGGCTCATCGTCATCATCCAAATAATCCGAATCCACATGCCGACTATCATCGGGCGATTCCAGAGTATCACGACTGCCCGAACCAGGCGAGATTGCACGATTATTTGTTGTCAGCAGTCCACCAGTGGCAGCGCTACCAGCCAAAGTACCACCCAAACCGCCACTGCCCCCACTACTACCACCACCACCACCCGAATGTGGCAGTGTAGTGAGCGTCGGCCCGGCCGCTTGTGTTGGCCAGAAATGTGCTGCCGCTGGTGCATTTGCTGCTGCTGCTGCTGCCGCTGCTGAGGGGTGCCAAGTAAAGCCGCCATACGGATGTGGCGGATACAGGCTGTAGGCAGCGGTACGCGCGAATTCGCTGGCCACACGTTCAGCGGCACGATTGCGCAATATGCGGTTAATGGAAGAGACCGATGGTGCTGTGGTGTTGGTGCAAACAGCTGGAAGGAAATAAAAAATAAAAATTTATGAATACAAAAACGATTAAGAACGATTAAAAGAAACTCCCTTATAATATCATGAAAAAATATTTTGGGAATAGTTAAGCATTACCCGGGTGGATCAGGTACCCGAAAAATATTTAAATTGACGAAGAGGTGGTGATGTCGGTCTTTTTCTCACGAGTCTTTTCCAATATTTGTGGCATTGCAATTATCTGCTCAAGGGTGGATCTCTGAGGTCTAAGCCGACATTGCTAAGATGCAAAAAGTGTTTATCATACAGATCCCTAGATAGACCTCGTTTGCGATATTTAACAGGTTCATTCCGCGATAATTGGTGCAGATTGGGGGTCGCCATTTTGTAGAGTGATCTTCATAGTCGTACGATGGATCATCTGTACCACTGTTATCCCTTTGGGTTTTCAGTTTGCCACTCCATAAAGATTATTTGTCCTCAGGCTGAAGAACTTTTCCATTCACAAATTCAGTAAACTCTGAACATCAGTTACTATATCACCTTGAAGCTTCAAGCTCCTCATGCTCATGTGCTTTCATCTCTCTCTCTCTTCGTCTGTCTGCAAATACGTCTTGCTTCCCTCTTTAATTCTCGTTATCTCTCCTACAGAGCGCGTTGTGCCTCATCAAAAGTATTTTTTCTCTCAAGAACGACACCCTAATCCTCCTTGTACCGGCTCTACTTTCGTTTGCTGTATGACAGTTCCCTTGCACCGAGTTGCTGATGAATGCCTCAAGTGTGTTCAAACCTATTGTGTTTGCAGCATTCTTGTCGTCTAACCTTCCTTTTGTTTGATGACGAGGGTTCTTCACAACATGATCGATCTGGCTTAGAGCTGTTCAATTTGAAGACAATGCCAGGATTTGTGTTAAGTAAAACCATATTTCGAGCCTTGTTGAAGTCGTCCAACTTTAATCCGTTTGGAGATGTTTCGTTATGAAGGCGGAATTCAAAGACGGTTGAGCCGAAGATGTATTCTTTTACCATCCTTGCGTTAATACCACCGTGCACAATTTTCACATCGTTGCATCGGCGATCGAGCTGCGCTCATGAGTACGCTCATAAATGGCATTCTCGGTCCTCTTTTCTTTCCGGGGCGCTTGCGGAAATAAAAGGTATGTTAAAAAATTCCGGCAAAACGTTAATCCACCTATTTGAAAACCAGAACTAGGCGACTGATTCTCCCTTCCTACCGCGAATCCGACACCGATTCGCGTTAATTTATATGCCCACCGTAGTACATATCCCAAGAATGTGTTTATTTTCGCTTTAATCACAGTCCTTAAAACGTGGCGGATCCCAAACCCAACGCGCAATCTCTTCTTTACGTACGCCGTTTCCTTTAAGGCCGACGCCGGCTCGCAGCCGCGTCTTTGGTGAACAATTACTGTAAAAAGATTATAATGGACGTTTAAACCACATATGCTGTAGTGGCTCCACTAAAGCTCACTCTTTTCTAGCAGTGACCCAAGGCTCCACGCGGGTTTTTTCCCAGCTATAGGGTGCGCGTCGTGGACACAAGTGTAGAAATATTATCCAACTTCCACTCAAATCCTTCATATAAATATATGGACCGCATGAAAGAAATTTGTGAAAGCTCATCAACATAACAAAACAAAGTCGACATAATAAAATGCCCGACTTTTCTGAGATCAACTGCGGAGACTTTGTTGTTCCCAAGTACATGTGTATATTGCTATCACTGTATATATATGTATATACTCTCAACACATATCATTATCAAATGAATTAATATGCTTCTTAAAAGCTTTTATGAGTTATTAAACTGTATATACGTGTATATAGATATGTAAACGCTTGCGCTATTTTTCAGTCATCAGAGGAAAGGTAGCCGCTTCCAACATCACTGGCTTTAAGCCATCATTAACCCAGATGGGCAATCAATCAAGTAGAGACCGAGCGGATGAGCGAGCGAGCAGAGCAACGTGCAAACAAACAAAAAAGCAGCAAACAGATTAAAATCAAAATGTCTTAAAGGGAAGCGTGAAACACCTATACATATGTACATAAATGTGAGTATATATATATATATATATATGTATCTACATTGCAACAATCTGCTTACTACTTACTACTTACTTCACCTTATATGGAACCGATATGCATATCTCTTTTATATGCCATTTAATCAGCGTTGCATTCTAATTGGTGTTTACGAGCTTGCACCAATGCAGGGTGCAGTGCAAAGAGCTACCACATAAATAAATACATACATACATATGTACATACAAATTTTTTTACCTGTATATGTGTATTTATGTGGCAATTCTTGTTAACTATTTTTTATACCTTTCATGATCATTAAAAGGGTCAGAAGTATGTAACTGCTAAAAGAAGTTGAGATAGTCCGTTCAAAATCGTAGGCCATATTTCTCACATTTGAGCATGTAAGAATATAAAATTAAATTAAATAAAATTAAATAAAAATCAATATCGCTCGATTATAATTCATAGCTGCCGTACAACTGATTGTTCAAAAATGTGATTTTGTGTTATAATTTCCACAACCAAGCATTCAAGAACGTAATAATTGGTGTTCTGTTCACAAATTATAGTTGAAATATTGATGCTGAAAATCATCAATATCGGACGATTATAACTCATAGCTGTCGTACAACTGATTGTTCAAAAATGTGATTTTGTGTCGAAATTTCCACACTTAAGCATACAAGAACGTGAAATTTGGTGTTGTGTCTACAAATAATAATAAAAAAAATTTTGGTACTGAAAATCATCAATATCGTACTATTATAACTCATAGCTGCCGTACAACTGATTGTTCAAAAATGTGATTTTGTGTCATAATTTCCACAATTAAGCATTCGCGTAGGTGAAATTTGGTGTTCTGTTCACAAATCATAGGTGAAACATTGGTATTGAAAATCATCAATATCGTACGATTATAACTCATAGCTGCCGTACAACTGATTGTTCAAAAATGTGATTTTGTGTCAATATTTCCACAATTAAGCATTCAAGAACGTGAAATTTGGTGTTGTGTCTACAAACAATAATAAAAAAAATTTGGTACTGAAATCATCGAAATCGTTTGACTATTAGATTTAGCTCCCATACAAACGATTCTTCAAAAATACGATTTTTTGACATAATTCACACAATTAAGCATGTAAGAACATAAAATTTGTTATGCTAGCTACGATTCGCAGTAGAAATATTAATACTGAAAATCATCAAAAATGGTTGACTATAACATTTAGCACCCATACAAATCATTGTTGGAAAACATGATATTTTGTCATAATTCACACAGTTGAGCATCTAAGAGTATGAAATTTGGTATTCTGCTCACAAATAATAAACAAAAACCTGGTACCAAAAATTATTAAAATCGAAGGACTAAGAGATTCACCTCCCATACAAATGTTTGCTCAAAAGCCCGATTTCTAGTCAAAATTCTCACAATTGAGCATATAAGAGTATGAAATTTTGTATTCCGCCCACAAATAATAAACAAAAATTTGGTGCTGAAAATCCTCAAAATCGGTTGACTATAACATATAGCTCCCATATAAATCATTCTTCAAAAATACGATTTTTTAACCTAATTCACACAATTAAGCATGCAAGAACTTAAAGTTTGGTAATCCAGTTACGATTCCCTACTACTATTTACTATTTTAATGAAATTCATCAAAATCAGTTGACTATAACATATAGCTCACATAGTACAAATGATTGTTCAAAGCACGATTTTTAGTCTCAACTGTCTTAAGTAAGCATTTAAAGAGAAAAAATAACCACAAATATTCATGAAGGGCATAAACATAGCCCTTCATCTTTCTTTTACTTCACCTACCTTCCGATATCAGCCGTTCACGTATTTCCCATGCGAATATTGTTGGATTCTCGCGCTTATATTGTTCGATCTTTGAGACCACAGTTGGTGTAGCGACTTTTGGCTTGGAGCCACCAATTAGACCAGGTGGACGCAATGAGCCTGCAGAAAAATGGAAAAAAGTTGAAAGAAAAAAAGAGAAATATTTATTATTATATCAGTAGCTAGACGTAAGATAAATGCAATAAAATAATAATTACAGACACACAGAGAGGAAGTGGCGAGCAGATAAGCGTTAAAGTGTACATACTGTAGGACTAAGCGCAGATACATACATATGTACATACATAAGAATGTACATTTAGTAAACATACATACATTGTGTACAATAGCAATTACATGTTAACAGTATGACAGGACATGTCAAATGTTGCGCCCTTAACCACACACACGCACACACAAACGCGGCGGAAAAACTTAAGTAGTCAATTGACACTTTGTTTACATTCTTCTTTACAAAAAGAGAAAAAAGCATAAATGCAATTAGCACAATCTTGAAATAAATATCTATTTATCACTTTCAACTCCCCATTGCATTTATTGCTGTGACAAAATGCGCAAACATTAATATACGAGCATATATATACCTATGTACATACGTACATACATGTACACGCGTTAACGGCAGTGAAACAATCATCACCACCACCAACTGTGTACCCTTTCGTAATGAGCCAATAATATTATCAATCATCTTTTGGCCACAGCAACAAACTCCCAGCGACGGACGACACTACACTCTTCGGCGCTTCACACAACATCTTCGTGCGGCAAGACTCGCCACCATTTTGCTTGCGTTTGTTTGTTCGGCTTATGGGTTAGGCTGCAACTACCCACTTTACTCACCAGCCGTCCATAACTGACGACATCAGTAGTGAAATACATACACGAGCTATCGACGCCGCTGAGAGCGGCGAAATGTTGCCAGCTGTCTGTGTGTTTGCACACTTTTAAACAAATTTATAATTTTCGTCAACAAATTTCATAATTTATGTGTTCGAATATTAACGAAAATCAAATATGTATTATCTATATGGTAACAAATAATTAGTTACGCATTTATTTTTCATTTCTGTTGAACAAAACTACGCATTATTTTCGATTACTTAATGTTACTTTAAGAAAGGCTATACTGCCAACCTTGTATAGCAACGAAAAATGAGCCGAGCCGGTTTTACGGAAAAATCAAAACTTCGTTGGTTTCTGCGACACAAACGTCAGCAACGCTATGGTAAATCGGTGACAACTTTGTGTTTACATGGCGCTCTCATAAGATAGGTTACTATGGACGGCTGGTACGCTCGTTGGGTAGTTGCAGCCTTATTCCGGTACCGATTTACCGTCGCAATGATCTTTATCATCATTCGCATAAATGTTTGCAACTACAAAAATAAATACATACATATATACAAGAAATGTATTGCCCAGTAGTGAAAAATTAAGGTAGTACGTAAAAGTACTAGTCCAGAACTAGTTTTAAAATAGTAAAAATATAAAATTTCGGTATATTTGTTGGAAAATATATTGTTGTTGATTATTAAGAGAAACAAAAACAATCACACCATTATTGTCACCCCCCAGGAAGAGGATTTTTTGTGTTCTACTGTAGCTCAGTAGATATCAGAGAGTCTCTTTTGGTATGTTGCGCACCTCCATCGGTTACAAACCATATAAAATAAACGCACACACAGAATAAAGTATCAGAACGGAAAAATGTTCATTTGAAGTTCTGGAGCGAGCCGCAACAAGGTGTGGTGAGCTCAAATAATCTAACGATTTTAGGTTATAAGGAACAGTAGAGTTAGAAACTTGTGAGAAATCTTAACAAATAAACAAAACTATTCGATATTAACAGCAAAAATCTGAAAACCAAATATACAACATCTTGCTGCACTGAGCATAATGAAAACTACTCCAGAGGACGCTCAACTTAACATCAATCAACAGAGCAATGGAAAACATTGTACTTTGCACAAACTTTCGGGTACAGCATAGGGTAGAGAGAATAGATTGAATACCTTCGTACTCTAGCTGGGAACGAACGTTTCAGACTACGCTTAAGGTATTTGTTTGACTCAACAGCATATAATCCGACAAAAAGTGGATGACGGAACAGGCGTCAGTAGTTTTGTGTCGGGTTAGGCTTCTGATATCTTTTGAGACCTCCAGAATACTGTATTACACGCGATAATAAAATTGAAGACCATATTCTTAAGTTAAAATGTCTCCGACATCCTTGAGGCTACGTAGTTCATAGATCTAAGAGAAGTCTTCTCAAAGGTGGACACCAAGACGCCGCGTCTTATATGGTAGCTACTTCATTGCGATTGAATTGAACCTCTCTCAAACGAAACAAAAAACCTACACGTCTTTATGTGGCTACCAGTATAACCTAACTTAACCTATCATAGCTTTCAAATATCTGTCATTCTCCAACGTGCCGCAAGATTTTCATGTGTCTACATATCTACAATTAATCAGAGTCTCTCATCACCTAGTCAATTCTTAAGGCTTGGAAACAAGTAATAGTCGTATAGGAGGAAAAATTTGGAGGATTTGCTGGATGAGCTCGCAGCTCGTAACTAAATTTATGATTTTTTGTCGTAAAGACAGTTATGCATTGTCATACTAGAACAGCGTTTTTTTCTTCGGCAATTCCCTTCCAAGGCAATCGTTTTATTCTCTTCAATGTCGAGTAACCCAAAAAAACTGTGGTCATAAAATTGTTAGCGGACAGAACCGCCTGAGTCTACTTTGGTACATGTACCGCGGTAAAACCCACTGTCTTGTGTGTTCCTTAATTTCTGGTGCAATGTGGTGGATCCTCGTGCCGTCTAGCATCATAGGCTTCGCTAAAGTGTTGGGTGCTACTTTAACTTAAGCGAATAGACGAAGCTCTTAAGAAGGAATAATTCATAAGCTCATATCCGGAATTAAATTTTACGCAAACTTCTAATTCACCATTCATATATGAACTAGTATTTGACTAGTTAGAAACTGGGCGGTTAATTGACATTTCTTACGTCACAAACCAGTTGCCAGCATTAAAAAGTAATAAGAGATAAACTTGTACTTGAGAAAAGCGAACTAGTATCAATTTACTTCACAATCACTGCTGGGTACATATAGACATATGTATATATGTACATAAGTATATACAAAGTACTCATGTGAATATAATAGCTTTATCAACAATTTGCTATCGGTGAGACGACTATTTTGTACCTACAAGAAAGACGAGGCTATATTGCTGACAGACAGACAAACAGACAGATGGACGGACAGCAGCGGAAACCGAGCATCAAGCGTTGCCAGCTACGTATGTACATATATATTAATGTATGCTTGTATGAGCGAAATTGTATGATATGTTGTGACGTTTGTGTTGTTGGCAAGCGCAGCGTTGCATTTCGCGCACCTATCGGTGTTGGATGTACTGTTATATGTAGATAAATGCATACATATACGACATGTGCTGTTGTTGTTGTAGTAATAGCTCATTGCATGCTGCAAATAAGTAGCAGTTACGCTGCACTTATTGTTGCAATCGCACAAATTATTTTTTTCTTCTCTACATACAAATAAACAATATGACGGGGTTAAATGGTAGCTTAGTTTGATCTTATCTACAGTAATACCAATAACATACATACATACATACATACATATATATACTATGTATATTTTAAAGCCCTCCAATTCAGTTGTTACTCGAAAAACAGATGAGCAGATAAAAGTACTGAAGACTTTGGGAGTTTATTTCATCTACAGCTCCTTGGCGAGTATACGTAACCGGATCCTGAAGAATTTTCTTCGCAACTCTCATGTCAGCGGTCTCTAGAGTCAGATAAAAAGCTTTGCGTACGGCATATATTGTACATAAAAAACCCCGGCTTCGAGAACCTGCTTTCTACGATAAAGAGGCTAAATTGTGACCCCGACTAAGTATTCTAATTGCAATGTATGAACTAAAGCGCTAGATACCCGGTTATCGAGCAGTGCGAAAAACTTGATACGCGTTCAGTGCCCAACTGAAGTGTTGAGAAAAATGTCAAAAATTTTTGTTTCAAAATGCTAGAAAAGCAGTATGAGCCATTATGATCCTTCAGAGATTTCTTTCTAAATACCATGTAAGTCCCTGCTCCCTGGGAGCTCCGACTGCCATTAACATGTGTGACAGCAATGTTTATTCCCTTTGAGCGAATGAAGATCGGGATTCATTTTCAGCTTTAGTGGCCAAAACTTTTTTGTGAGTGAGAGATTCTGTCAACAAATACTATCGCGAAATCCCTTTCCCTGGTTACTCTCAGGTCCAAAAGCTGGAAAGTTCAGCCCCTCTAAAGAACATATAGAATATAATAGATAGACTAAGATGAATCATGATGCCCCAACTGTCCAGGCCTGATAGAGTTATTTGGTATCAAAAGACCAGTCGTTGAAAAATTTGTTATTCAAGATGCCTCTAGAAGAGTTTACTATAAAAAAGAAGAAAAAACTCAAAGGAAGAAGAGTTTGATCTGCGGGCTAATTTCCAAAATGTTCCCCATGTTTACATAAAATTCTTAATATAAATTTAAGTATAAATATTTTTGACGGCCGCTATAGCCGACTTCTCAGTTTTGTTTACTATAATTCGGGAGGCCAAGGTTCGAGGTCGCCGGTCCGCCAGGAAATGTCAACCCCACCGAGTGTTTTTCTAACATGAAATAAAGGCGCCTCTTAAAAAACCCATCAGCCGTTAGCAGGCGGCTTAGTATAAACTTTAGTTCAAGAGAAATACCACAAATCGTAGGAAAGATCTCGGCCGAAAATCATTTCGCCAGGTGCCGAAGTTAAAATTTCCCAACGAACTCGTTAAGCTATGCAACTAATTGAAGTTTTGTTCCTGTATTAAGTATTTTTAGATAATGGTAGATTATTCTAGACTAGATCAAACGGAACTACTGGAGAAAGAGTGTGGGTCGAAAATTGTAGGTAGATTGACGATACCGATCATAAATATCTAACCACACAGGATTTCGACTTCCCCCCTGCCACTGTGGGTTTTTTTAAGCGTAAGTTGTTGGTTCTAAAAAGCCAGTGGGCGCACTGGAGGGTATAAAAAACAGCTCAGAGTTCAATCTCTCCAGCGTTGATTTACTTCCCAATTTAACTCTGTAAAATCTGTCTCACTCTCCCCCTCTCTCCGTTATTGTCTAACAGGGAATAAATAGATAAACTGCTACAACGAAATGTTGTACAGAAGATTCCTGCACTAGCTGATCGAACATTGCCATGTGCGAGTTTGGGAGATCCTTTAGACTTAATTAATGCCAAAGACCGGGCATACTGAGATCTGAACTCTCTTAGATGGAACGGTGGAACTCTTGTTATTCACATGGCTAGGCTGAAGATTCTTATGGAGCTCTACTATTGTCTGGTAGTTGATATGAATCACACCGACTTTTGCTGGGTACGTTTACTAGAAAGGAGTGGTTCATGCAAAGATATCGACAATGCAATGCGTTCGCTTTCAAGAATCACGTTTATGCAATATCACAAGGTGCAAGCCTTAAATGGACTACAAATATGAAATCCCTGAAATCAACGTTTGCTATCTAAACTAACCTACCTAACTTGCTTTAGGCAGCAAAGCCAAATATTTGTGACTCTATCTTTTCACGTATTTACGGAATAAATAAGAATGATCAGCATAAAGTGACATAGTTTACTATGTTATTTACACCAATGTTTAATTAAATATTTGAACCCATTCTTTTGTGCAGAGTCATTCAAGAAACGACGCTTGTGTGCGACGCTTGAAATTTCCGAAATACTTGCGTTGGTATGCCGTGACGTACAAGGAAATAAAGAATTTTTAATAAAATACACATGTCTAAATAGAAAGGTGTTTAGTTGCTGAAATTAACAAAAAAAAAAGTACATAAAAAACTTCAATGAAAACTTTCATAAAAGAAAAAGATTCATAGCAAAAATTCTATTGCGATCGGAAGTAACAAATTTCCAATACGAATTTTATGATATCCGAATAAAGACATTTTCGATGGAACTCTGCGATAAATCTTCCTCCCTATACCAACCGTTTAAGGGGCACTCCTAGTGTGAAATTTAAAAAAAAATCGATCATTTTTTTCATATTGCGATATCACAAATAGTTTTTGAGTTATAGAAGTTTAAAGAGCAGCCGCTCGGCAGCTAGAGAGTCCTATTAGCTACGAGTGAAAACGATCATTTTATCTTTAAACGCGTTTTTCTCGAAACAGCATTTTTCGAATTCGCCGCAGTGATTACTGAAAAACAAATGATCCGATCACTATCGAATTTTTTTACATGCTCTATATATAGTTCTACGTACAATGACCTATCGATTTTTGATCTGATCAAAAAATTGAATTTTAGCAGGCCAAAAACGACCAAAATTCTGGATAAAATTCGACTATTTTTTTTTTAACGCCGCCATATTGTCAATTTTTTGATTTTTTTTATCGTAGGTCGTTGTACTGATGAGGCCGGAATTACTGCAGCAGTGAAGGACCTTTCTTTCGTGCCGTTGGAGTTCGACTATAACTTAAAAAATACTTAATTTTTTTCTTCAAAAATTTCACTGTATATTCTTGAAACATGTATAAATATAATCTTAAAATTTTGAAATTATTGATAAAGTATTTTTTTAACAAAAATTCTCAAAAATCACCTTTTTTTAGGCCATTACACTAGGTGTGCCCCTTAAAGCTAAATCTACCGACTCTCGCAAGTCGTAGAGAAATGTTTTGCGCATTGTTTGTAGTGAAACTTCAGAACGGATCAATTTGTAGTTCATGGCTCTTCTCTGAGGTAAACTTTAATGTTTCAACTCGTGTATCTATTCAGTTCATGCCATGAATGAACCCTTTCGCCAATTGTGTCACAATTTTAATTTTCATTCCAACACCTTCGATCTCTCTGACTCACTTTTTAGCATCCAAAAAACTATTCTTACTTTTCTCAACAATTAAATTTTAAAATTTCATGATTACTAAACTTCAGCTGTTGAATTATTATGTTTTCTGTAGCTGAACAGTTGTAAATCTCGACGCTTAATAAAGACTTTCCAATCATGACTCGGCATATTCCATATGTTATGCGCATGTCGCCTCTCGTGTCGGTTGGTTTGGAGGGTATTCGTTGAGCTTATTATAGGTACTCATGCCGAAAAACTTTCTTACAGAAATTGAGTATCGGGATCTTGATAGGCTATTAGCGCATTATTAGAAATGCTTTCGCTGCCTTGTTGATTTTAAGAGACGTTACCAATAACTACAGAGGTTTCAAAGACAACTAAAGTTTAGAAACTACCTCAATAGTCGGAACGCAAAAAAAAACGCTTCAGAGAGATCAGAAATCGGCCAAAATAGCCTAGTGGTTAGCATTATAAACTGACATTCTGAATGACAGGGTACGAGTGTTGGTTGGAACAACATCTGTAATAAGAGAAAATTGCTTTTTCTAAATGCGGTTGCCTTTTGGAAATGTCAAGCTCGTCGGAGTGTATTTCTGATATCAATAAACCGTAGGTTCCTTCATTTATTCGAAAGCCCTCAAGACGCACACCACAAATTCAAGGAAATGCGCTGCCGAAAACCTTAGAACACTCCAGAGCATGGAAAAGTTCGAATAGCAATCGCCCGCTTTAAAAACAACAAAGCGGCTGGAGCTGACGGCCTATTGGCAGAGCTATTCAAACATGGCGATGAAGAGCTGACAAGGTGCAGGCATCAGCTTCTTTGCAGAATATGATAGGACGAAAGCATACGCGACAATTGGAATTAAAGTGTGCTCTGCCCCATACATAAAAAAGGAAACCTCACAGTCTGCACCAATAAAAGTGGAATAAGCCTTCTTAATATCGCATATAAGGTACTATCGAGCGTATTCTGTGAAAAACTAAAGTCCACCGTCAACAAACTGATTGGACCATATCAGTGTGGTCTTAGACCTGGTAAATCCACCGTTGAACAGATATTCACTATATCCTAGGACCCATGAAAAGAGGATCGACACACACCACATCTTCGTCGATTTTAAAGCAGCCTTTGACAGCAGAGATAGGAGCTGCATTTACGCCACTATGTCTGAATTTGGTATCACCGCAAAACATATTTGGGAATGTAAACTGACGTCAAGCAACACCAAAAGCGAAATCAGGATCTGGAAAGACCTCTCCGAACCGTATGATGCCAAACGAGGTTTTAGACAGGGTGATTTTTTATCGTTTGACTTCGTCAATTTATTGCTGGAGGAAATAATACCAGCTGTAGAGCTGAATAGAGAAGGTACGATCTTCTAGAAGAGCGTACAGCTACTTGAGCATGCCACTGATATTGAATTTATGAGCCTCAACAACCGCGGCGAAAGTTCTGCTTTCTCCATCACTGATAAGGTAGCAAAGGATATGGGTCTGATAGTGAACGAGGGCAAGACGAAATATCTCCAGTCTTCAAACAAACAGTCATCGCATTCGCGACTCGGCAACCACGTCACTGTTGACAGTCATAACTTTGAAGTCGTAGATAACTTCGTCTATCTTGGAACCAGGATTAACATCAACAACAATGTCAGCCTGAAAATTCAACGCAGAATCACTCTTGTCAGCAGGCTCTACTTCGGGCTGAGTAGGCAATTGAAAAGTAAAGACCTGTCTCGAGGAACGAAAACAAAACTCTACAAGTCCCTCATCGTTCCCGTACCTCCATATGATCCGAAGGCTTGAACGATGACAACAGCTGATTAGTCGGCTTTGTCGGAGTTTTAGAGAGAAAGGTATGAATACTCCAGCTTTGAAGATTTTCGATGAAGTACCCGGTCAACTTGGTTGGAAAGACCAGGTAGAGAAGGACTTGTGTCGCGTCAAACAGCGAGGAAAAGAGACGAAAGGTGCAACTTTAAGAATTCGGCTGCAAAGTAAGAACACCATTCCTGCGAAGAATGAAGAAAATCACGGAAAGTTAATTCAGTTATTCAGAATTGAAAGTGGTGAATCTGCCAACGCACCATTCTCTTGGGTTTGCTTATCAGCAACGTCAAACAAAAACGGTCATGGTCGAAGAGCAGTGAAGCGGTATGCTTTTTTAGTATTTGGTGGTATTAACAAATAGTCCATCATCTACTTTGAGCTACGTCCTCACTCTTAGTTCGGACCTGTACTGTCAGCTCTTGCAACGTCTGAAGGAAGCAATCGCCCAGAAGCGCCCAGCTCTCAAGCAGCTCCGAGAACTTAAATAGTTGGGAGGTGCATCATATAGTACGGACCATCACGCATCAAGTGATTGAAATCCGTGTCTGTCCATGGCGAATGATTTTGCTGGTGAAAAATTAGCTTCAATAGAGGCTTGTGAAAATGGACTGTCTCAGTTTTTTGCCAATAGTAACGAGGGCTTCTATGAGAGAGGCAAACTCAAATTACCTATAAAATGGCAAGAACTTATCGAATTTGACCTAAATCGGATCATTCTAAGTGTGTTAATTAAAGCCTTAAATTCCATGCAAAAATAATGGATTTCTTTTTACTACACCTAACGTAATGGATTAGCATTTACTAAACTCAGCATTATAGGTTAATTCCTTGCTACTTACCCAATAGTTTCGAGACTGCACCCTGTTGCGACAACATATGCTGAGCGATGTCATAGCCGCGCAAGCCGCCGAAGCGGGATAATTCCAATAAACGTTGCTGGGACATCAGCGCGTTCAATGTGCTTGGTGAGGGCGAGCCGCCAGAGCCAAAGATTGCAGCGCCCGGTATTTGTACAGAGGGGGGTAGGCCAACTGGAATTAGACAGATGTAGAAATAAATATTTTTTTAGTTGTAAAATAAATTGAAATAAAAAAATAAAAATAAATTAATTTATGTTTTCAGTTGCCTGTTCGACTAACTGCCGTACCTTCCGTGTGCAAGTGCGCTTGACTTTGCTTGCTCATTGAGAATGCTTCGCTGTTTGATTACCTCGTTTGAAATAATTTCAATTTTAAGTAAACATTTTCAAGCGAGACAATTCTAGACGACGACTTTTTTCGCTTGCGCCGGCGTACAAATTTGTAATGCCAATTAAAAATATTTACAATTTCGTTGCGCTAAACTTTATGCTTTATTAGTTGAGTATCTAATTTTGTTTAACATGACTAACCACATTATATGAATACCGTTAATTTTCCCTATCTCCCTCTCTCCCTCTCTCTCTCTCTCTCTCTCTCAGCGTTAAACAATGCAAAAAATGATTTATGAAATGAAATTAAATATTGAAAAAGAAAAATATTTATTAATACAATTATTGCAGCGCGGGGGCGAACATAAAAGCGGCGCATGGCTAATACACGAGCCTCCTATTTCTGCCGTCACAACACGAAAGACCCTGTCACATGACGCGTAGCGAAATAAATTAAGAAATTTATACAGGTGTACACCGTAAGCAGATCATGACATTTATTACGGTTTTTATTGTTTTGCTGCACGAGCATTTTTTTCTGCCGATTGTTTTTACTCGTACACCTAATTTCACTGAAATATTTTCGTCAGCTCGATTCAGTATTTATAATTATGATTTACACACAGGCGCACAGGCGCACAGACATGCATACAAGCGCACATGGCGCAAATATGACAAATAATAAGGAGAGAATAGGCACGTTTTGCAAAATAAATATTGAATTAAAAATATTCAATTAACAACAAAAGGCGAATGAATTGAGAATACAAAATAAAAAAAAGAATATTAATTAAAAAAAAAATAATAATTAAAAAAAAAAATGAAAAAACATACACACATGTGCACAGAATTGCCAATAAATATGCTACATATAAGATAATATTCGAAGAAAGAGAAACAACACCGTTGTGCCTAATTTGGTTCAAATGTGTAAAACTATCACAGTTGTGGGCGCGCAAATTGTATGCCGTCGCCCGGCTGCCAGCAGTTTGGGTGCATAAATACATACTAAGTAAGGGATATACATATATATACATAAATATGTGAGTAAAACTAAAAATATTGCTAGCATAAATCATTTTAATCAAAATCCATCGCATTTTATTGTAATAATTTACATAATTGGACGGTAAATTATGAATTTAACTGTTTTGTGCTTTCATTTACGACTAAAACTAAGCATAGTTTTTTGTTATTTTTTCATTTTTTTTTAATGAAAGCTCTATGTTAAAGCTTTGAGCTTTTTATTTGTTTAAGCTTTAAGCTTACACTAATCTAAATGAATCCAAATCGCATGCTTTACAAATTACTCCAGAAAATCATATTATCTGACTAGTTATTGTAATGATTTTGATTTCTAAAGCTGCATACCCAATATGGAAGAGTGTAAGTGAGATTGTTCTAGTCGGAAGCCAAAAATCACTTTAATTTGGAAAAATAATGCTCACAAAGTCATAGAAATTTTTCAAGAGAAGGCCAAAATAAATGATAATAATGACTAAACTTAGGCGCAGTTTCCTAAATATTAACAACGAAATTTATATTTGTTACGTGAATATACAAAACTGCAGCATCTGGGACTAGGAGAACCCAAGATTTATTGTTTGAAAGCCTATCCATTCTCAACTTGTAACTGTTTGGTGTGATTTAGGGACCGGCGGTACCATACTTTTACGAAAATGAGGCTGGAGCAACAGTCACGGTGAAGAGTTTCTTATACTATCGATTGATGATTAATAATTTTTTATGGCCGAAATTGGATGGCATTAATCTGGACAAACATTTACTTTCAACAAGACGTCACCACTTGGCACAAAAGCAACGAAACGATCGATCTTTAAATGAAAAAATTTCCGGGTCGTGTTATCTCTCGAAGAGATGATCGCAAGTGGCCACCGAGATCTTGTGATTTAACACTTCACGACTGCTTCCTTTGGGGTCACGTGAAAGACCTTAAAGATGGAATACATGAAACCGTAGAAGGCATACAGCAGTCACTATGCGATTTCATAAAAAGAATACAGTCCTGTAAATGTAGCCGCGGCGGACATTTCGCTGATATTGTTTTCCATTATTAATGGCATATCTTTCTCTTTACATTTAAATAAACATCCGAACATTTATTTAAAAAAATGCTATTTTTCTTTAAATATTATAATAATGCCTCTTATTGGGAAACCAATATATGGTAAAATTCCAGAATAGTTTCGAAAATTTTTTTAATTCTTTCATTATTATTTTTTTTTTTGGTTTATTATTTAGCTTATTTATTCATTTAATTAATCATTTACTCAATTAACAATTTTAATTTATTTATTTGTTTATTTATTCATTTATTTATTGATTAATCAAGTATCTTTATATTGTATTTAATTAATTATTTTAGCTTACTTACTTATAATATTTTATTTTTTTTTTTTAATTTAATATTACTTTATAAATAATAATTATTTAATTAATACTTTTAATTTGTCGATTTTTGGCATTCACTTAATAATTAATTATTTTATTTATTAATCTATCGATTATATTAATTTATATATTTATTTATTTTTTTATCTATTTATTTATTTATTTTTTATTTAATAATACCAATAGTTATTTTTATAAAATAAATCAATTTATCTAGTTTACCTGATTAATTTACTTAATTTGTTTATTTATTTATTTTTATTTAATTTTTACATTAATGAAAGTAATTATTTTTTTTTAATTAATTAATTATTAGAGTATTTGATCAATCATCGATTTTTTAAATGTTTATTTCAGTTAACTTATTTATAACTTTTTATTTTATTTTTAAATTTATTATTACTTTTTAATAATTATTATTTAATTAACAATTTTAATTTATTTATTTTCATATTTACTTATTAATTAATAATTTTATTTTTTAATCTATTGATTATTTTCATTTATATATTTATTTATTTTTATTCATATATATATTTATTTTTTACCTATTTATTTATTTATTTATTAGTTATTATTTTTAAAATTAATTGACATATTTGTCTTACTCGATTAATTTACTTAATTGATTTATTTATTTTTTTAATTATTTATTTACTTATTAATTTAAGTTAGTATTATTTTTGAAATTAACTCATTTTTTAAGTATTTAATAAATTATTGGTTTTTTAAATGATTATTTTATTTAACTTATTGTTACATTTTTTAATTTGATCTTTAATTTATTTGTTTTTTTTAACTTTTTTTTAATATGGGTTTTTTTTCTATAACTATTCATTTGAACCAAGAACCATGTTTCATTTTTTATTACTTTCTCCACTATGATTTTTTAAATACACAAAGTTCTCACGGGAGAATTCCGGAAATGTATTTGTGGATATTTTACAATTTTAGGTCCACAAATAAGTCTTGTGAAGGTAAACTGAAGGGCCAAGAAAAACTTGCCAATGCAATGTTTTGTGAGTTCTGTCCGGAAATTTCTTGAAAACCGAAAAACGGGAAAACTATAAAGAATTATTAAGTGAACTTAAATTTCCATAAAAAGCTTTAGGGTGTCATATAACATTAAAATACATACATACATATATATGCTGGAAACCCATTTGGTTTTCTTTCCGCCAAATTTGCGTACTGCGAGTGACCAATAAGATGACAGGTTCAATCAGGACATTTCCATAATGGGAAAACGTCTTCAATGTGATCCAGAAATACTAACAAAATACTATTCGAAACTTACCAGAGACCTACCAAAAGCAAAATATTCACAAAAATCTGAAATATCTATGATAAATAATTTAATAAATTATTTCTAATTTGTATATTTTGGCAATTTTTCTGAAACTAGATGATTTCAAGTCACAATAAAATCTGATGCTTACAAATTTTTCCATCGAATACTTATTGTTTACACATAAAATCTGTTATAAGTTTTTAAGCCGTATTAAAAATTCAATTTTATTTACTAGTATGTTTGATCAATTCGGTAAAAATGTATGTATATAGATGTAATTAATGTTAAAGAGCTATTTACGAGTATATGTACATGTATATATGTAGCTTTTGGTATCAGATGTGAGCCATATCGAAGTAGTTAGAAAATGGTGTCCTTTTGTATATATTCACTGCCCTTTGCAGGGCAATCCCACCAAGGGTAATGAAATGAAAACATTCCCATAGAAATGCATCAGGCGCGTATCCGAAAATGACATTAGCGGCCATAAAGCCACAACTATATCTATGTATGTGTGTATGTATATCAGTAGCTTCCATTAATAAGATTAATAATAAAAATAGACAGTCTAACTATTTGTATACATATATTTTCTCCTTTTGGTACCCACAAACATCCAGCCACAATTAAAAATCCATTGTATGCTCTCTCATGAGAGATACAGAGGTGTAGGGTACAGTGAATAAAATAATTATTGATTCTGAAATTGAATACTCAATGTACGTTTGGAATTATTCCGCGGTATTGGAACTATGTTTATTTGAAATTATACAATACTATTATACAAAAAACCAAGTAGTTTCGCTTAAAATTTGTTTCATACATATTAATAACTAGCTGCCATAACAAGATTTTTTTGACTTTCGCTTTATTTTTATGCTATCAAATTTCATATTTTGAAAAATAAATTTTTGGATTATTTAAATTTAAAAAAAATATATATTACTAAAAATTAAACTCCTTTCTATGTAAATAAAAAATAGAATAAACGTACTTACAAAAAAACTGAAAAGCTTCGCAGAGTATTTTGTGAAATCTTATCGAAATAAGATTATTTTCAGTTGGCTTAGAATTAAAAAAAAAAAAAAAATAAATGAAATATTCTTATTTGAAATTAAAATGCAAATAAAATTTAATATCAAAAAATCTTTTTCTGCCAATTTTATATTGAGTGAAACTACCTTCCTTTCTTTGCATTAAGATTCTCCTTATAAATTTATATTTTTTTATTTTCCTGTCTTTAATGTAATATAATGGACGCTTTGTAACCACTGTAGCGATTTTCGGTCGAGATCCTTCTCCAATTTGTGCTTTACGTCTTGATGTTTTCCCAGCAAATGGAGGGACCAACAGTTTATACAAAGCCGCCTCCGAACGGCAGAAAAGCTTTTATTTTTCATGTCACAAATAACAAATTTAGTGAAATTAATTTTGTTTTATTTATTTTTAATTTATTTAAATTAATTTTCTTTAATATTTGAATGTTAATCGGGCCAAGACTCGAAATCTGGGTTGTAGAGTGACAGTCAGCAATGCTAACCAGCGCGATCGCCCCTAAGAAGAACTAAAAACTCCCTCTCAACCTGGTAGAAACCGAAACTCCAAAAGTATTTATATGCAAATCTGATTAATCATGTTGATACTACGTAGTTCTTGTGGACTGTTAATTATTTGAAAACTATTTGCTTTTAAAAAACTTTTATAAATATTTTTTCGACAGAACCTACTTTTTGAGTCTTATTGAATTCTTACATACATGCATACATATTTATTTTATTTTTTTTTTAAGCATGATGACTAGCCCGTCGAACATTCACATAAGCAATTATAAGCTAATATAAAATAATATTATGTATGTATGTACGTAAGGCAAGTAAGAATTTAAGGCAGTAGTCTGGTTTAGAGGCTTCGGAAATTTCAACTTTTTTTCCTAAATTTTTTCTAAAACTATCCATGAGTATGTCAACAAAACTTCAGTGGTCAATTCGACATATTTTAGAAGCTAAAGCAGTTTTAATAGCCGAGCGTCGAGTAGATTCGTATGCTCGGACATACTTTGCAGTGCGTTTTCTCGAGTTTTCATTTGTACAAGTCTTAGAAAACGGTGCCGGTGATAGCAAAAAGAACAAACATATATACATACATAGTATGTCTGATAAAAAAAAAAAAAAACAACGAGATATAGCTGCAGTATTGAATTATCTTCTTTTTGAACTTTTTTTTAAAGTGAATTTTCAAACTTGGAAAAAACTTTGAATTTTACCTTTCCTTCGGTATTTTATTTTTTGTTCATATATATATAAGAGACACCCACAAAAAGTAAAAAAAAAATTAAAAAAAAAATTGCTTCGAATGTTGCAGACGCGTCGCGCGACCACACCACCGGCAGCGTATCACGAGTTCAGACTGCAGGCGCTTCAGAAAACTCATCACAACAATGGTAATTTCCACAAAAAATTTGGATACAAAAATGTGTTTCATGAAGCTTAAATATAGCGCATTATTGACTGAAATTTTCATTTCCCGCAGTAATTTCCTTCCCTTTCAAAAAAAAAAATGCTAAAAAAACGCGCTTTTCGGGTTCTTAAGGTGACTACCGCCTTAACAATCCCCCTGTATGGTACAAACTATTTTATGATTTTTTTTTACAATTTTTTTTTTCTATAATAAAATGAATTCAACTTACTATTACACGGTGGCGGTATGGTGGGCGCACCACCCGTACCCGCTAATGCTGGTATTCTTGGTGGTTCCATTTTCCAATGCGCTGGTATGCTCGTATTTGCGGCGGCCAATGTTCCAAACTTATGATTTATACCCGGTTCAATCAACATGACCAAGCGAGCAATACAGCAATGTAATTAATTTTGGGTAAAATATTTTTATGCGGTGTAAAATACGCCGAGAGAGATAAAAGTTTAAATGTTGTAAAACAGGGTCAAATTGGTGTTGCATAAAAAAAATGTTTAATTTCAGAATTTTACAAAGGAAACAGAATATTACATACTAAGAAATGTTTGTATGTCTGTTTGTAAGCGCCTTTTGTGTTGTTTGTTGCAATTATTAGAGTCACTTCATGACCATAGCCCGATATACACATATGCACACGCACACACGTACTGCAAACACGGGACGTTGGCTTTTATGAGTGAAATTAAGCGAAAGCAGGAAATGTGCGCTAGATTGTAAATTTCTGCGTTTTTTTTTTGCAGATTTGTTGGTTTTTAAATGACTGAGGCAAATTTTTTTGTTGTTTTAGAACACTTGTTAGCTTGAAGTTTTGTATTTTTTTTGTTTATTTTTTTTTTTTTAATATTTGCACAGCAGCCCACTTTGTGTTTTTCACCCTTAATTCTCCTTTTTCTTTTGTGTCACTAATTTTTGTTTATTTTCAGTTATTTAATTTCAATATTTTTAATTGGTCTTCTGTGTCTTTTTTCCTTTGTGCTTCTATACTTTATTATTAATTTTCTTTCAAATAACACACGTTCGCACGTGGGTAACTTCACAGCTATCACCTTTCAATACTACGACACGATCCACACACGAAAGCCGAGCTCGGCGCACTGAATACCAAAATTCCACATCAACCAGTTGTGGCGGCGGCTTAGCGCTCGCTGCTCCACTCGACTCAACCTGTGCCCGCCTCCACCGCAACACTCCAAATCCCATGCCGAACATATGCAGGTATGTACAAGTTAACGCTAACCTGTATGAGCCAATTTGCTCGCGGGAATTGAGTGAATGAGTGCTTTTCTATGCTTACGCGCTCAAATGCCCAACAATAATAGTTAGTGCCACCTACATGCATACACACACACACACACACACACACACACATAAATCTACCACTCTTATTAGGCTTACTGTCTTATTTGTTTTGTTGTTGTTGTTACTTTTTTAGCCTTCACCACCATCGCCAACACGTACCGCCACCGGTTTTTCAAGCTGAACGCACAAGAATAATGGCGGCCTGCATTGAACGAAAACACGCCATTGGTGCGAACGCACTAGCTGCCCTTTTAGCGCTTGCTCTTCCTCTTTCGCTCTTTCACTCTTTCGCTCTTTTGCCTTGCGTCGCTTACTTGTTTTATATGTGTGTGCTTTGTTTGGTTTTGTTTTGTGCCTGCTTTCTGCCAACAATTTGACTGACTTGGCTGTGGCCGCGCTTGCTTACCTAAATCACATTCCGTGCATTAATTGCCGCCGCCCGTGCACTGGGGGTTGCTGAATGGTTGGTTGAATGCTTGAAGTGGGCAGTGCCATGTGCTCATGCTCGCTTTGATGTATAGCAACAATGTTATGCGGTTGTTGTTGTTGGTAGTAAAACTCGTATGCTCTCGCTTGCACTGCTGGTGTTTTGCGGGGTGTTGTTGTTGTTCTTGTTGGTTGTGTATACTATTCATTCCAGTTGGTTTGCTTTGCTAGTTGTTTTTGTGTTTGATTGTTTGTGTATGTGTTTTTATTGGTGTAGTAAATTTTATACGCGCGCGCTTACATATAAAAATAAATATACATAAATACCTACATACTCGTATAGGTGGAATTGATGCAACTTCCTATCCCTGTTTATGCTTTTATATTGCCGCCTGCTTCTTCTTCTTCTACTTCTACTCCTTTATGTGTGTACACCCAACACATACCCATTTTATCTATTCGGTGTACATACATACATATACGAGTATATTTCCTGTTCTCATCCCTTTGAGTCGTTAAAATAATCATTTGTTGGGCTTGTGAAAATTGGGTGCGCACAGTAAGCGTAACTCGCTCATTCGATATGGAAATCGTAGTTCTATATTCGTAAATATTTATCTATTTTATCGTTAAACCCATGCGGCACATATGTACATACATACCGCCTCCAAGTGCTGCCCATTGTAGTGCCTACAAATAATGTATCCTACTTAAGGGCAAACGCGAATACAGTACAATGTAAGTACATATGTATATGCATGTACATATATTGGGCACATAAACCTTGATCTATACATATACATACATATATGTATATACAGCTATGGACATATAAAAGATACATTTTTTTAGACGCCTCTCTTATGCTTTTGCGCCCTTAAAAATTTCAACAAGCAAAAATTTTATGGCTTTTGCTAAAATTTACTCTTCATAGGTAAAAAAAAAAATTAAATTTGTTGGTAATTTGGAAAAGATGGTGATATAAACTGTACACTTAAAAGACACAACCTAGGAAATGAGGCAAAAATTAAGTGAAAATGCATTTTTTTCAAGTTTATTTCTCTGCACACTCTTTAATTTTTATGGCACGACTAACATCCAAAAATTATAGAAAATTTCTTTAAATTAATAAATTAAGTTAAATTTTCTAATAGCGGTCCCCACCGGCAGGAAATGTCAACCTCTCTGAGTGAATTTCTAACATGAAATAAGCGTTCCTCATTAGAAAACTCTCAGCCTTCCGGAGGCGGCTTAGTATAAACTGTAGGTCCCTACATTTGTTGGATTTGTTGGATAACCATGAGGACGCAAAACCATTAATTGGGGGGGGGGAGCTCGTCCGAAAATCGCTTCATCGCTTACAAAACATCAATTATATATATGTATTCGTTGCATGCTATAGCCTTTATTTTCAATGATTGCCACATCCTTTTCCAAATATACCTTCCACGTGTTTTGTACACTTGACTTTAGGTATGGGATACCAAGCATCCATGACAGTCGAAAAATTATGTTCAAATTTTTTTTTTAATTTTTCTTTATGATTTCAATCTTGACTTCATTCCAAGGGTTTTCAATTGGATTTAAGTCAAAAATGTGGGCTGGTAAATCTGAAACATCGATCTTCTCCATACTCAACAAATTAATATCTAATTTGGACGATTGCTTAGGCTCATTACTTGCCATACAATTCCACTTCTTTTGGCATGCTATAGAAGGCATCGGAGGTGTTTTAAAATGTCCAAATACTGAAACGTGCCCATTTAGTCGTTAATTCGTACAAGCGGACCTATGTCATGCCAAAAAATGCAGCCCTCACACTAATATTTTCGTTCCCGTGGTTGACCGTCTCCTGAGCGAACCTGGGATTACACTTTTTTCGATATTCGCGGTTTGGTTCATCATGAATTCGTCCCAATTGAACATTCGGTCAATAAAGAGTATTATTTGAGCGTTTTGAGGTGTTTACGCGAAAGCGTCCGTCGTAAACGGGCGGAATCGTTGGTCAACAATTTTCTGGAACTTTCATGACGATAATGTGCCATCGCACCGAGCTGTAGTTGTAAGCGAATTTAAGGCCAAAAAGTGGTTCATTACATCGATCAACCACCATCTAGTTACCACTTCGTGACTCCGTGGAACCCCTTTCGACGCGATTAAGGTCATAAAAGAAAATTCTCAGACGGAACTGATTTCGACTGATTTCAACAGCTGCTGCATACAAGCTGGTTGACAGATCGCGCTCATTTTTGGCATAATAATTAAGGACAGTGCTACCAACTTATCTAACAAAAAAAAAGTGCTGAAAAATATTTAGCGCGTGCAGTTTAAATGACAGATTTCCGGAAACTTTCCGGCCTTAAGAATTCTAGGCGTTTGGGATGATGAACAAGACTCTGATATCTAGTCCTATCACGTTGATTTTCGTTTCGTCAATCCATAATATGTTTTCAAAAAATGCGGACATTTTTCTAGGTAGGCTCTAGCGAAAGTCAATCGCGCCCAATGTTTTTTTTTTGTCAGAAGTCGGGTTTTTCCTAGAAATGCGGCCAAACAATTTCGCTTCGTTATACCACCTTCGAACAAGCCGGCTGGATGTTTTTGTCTCCAATGAATGGCTTATATCAGATGCTATTGGTCGCAATGGATAAAATTAGTCATTCTTTTTAATAACAGAATCCGAACGCGCATCGGGCGTTTTTCGTAGCCATGGCAATCGAATTTCGGCTTTGGTCAATACATCGGGGTTCTATCCACGTGAATTAATAGCGTTATAAATTTTCTTCAAAAAATTTGCAATACTTTTGAAATTTTTGTTACTTTGGGCTAGAGACGTTAGAGATGCTACGATAGCAAGTTTAGTACAACAAATTTTTTGTTATGAACAACCTTCAATGGAGAATTTTTAGCATTTAGAAGGAATCTAATTTTGTGCCATTTATATGTCCACAGCTGTAAACTCGTATGTATATGTACATATCTATACATATTGGTTGCGGTTTTTACTCATGTTGAATGCTTACTTTAGCAAACACAAGCGATTCATGATTAAATATTTAGCAAAAGTGTAGTTAGAGCAATTAAATTTTAAATGCCATGAGCATACATACATACATTCACATATGTTTATCCAAGTATGCAAATATGTATTAAAGGATCTGCGAATCTAGACGTTAATAAATAATTTTGTAACGGTTACTTAGGAAATTTTCAAAAATAAAATAATTGCACCAGACAAGTATTTTTTGCATTTTAATATATTAATGTTTCCAGCTCTCAGTTTTCTACATATTAATACACAAATTTTCATTGGTAATGGCATAAACGTAGCTCTGAAGAAATGTAGTGCATTTTATCATTATGCTCTTTCAATAAAATGCAATTAATACAATAATATATATTTATAAGATTTGGTCTTTGTAGCCGCTGAAGCGATTTTCGGCCGAGGAGAGCAATTTGTAGTTTGCGTCTTGACGCTTTCCCAACAAAAAGAAGGACCTGCAGTTTATTCTCAGTCGAATCCGAACGATCGATAGATTTTTACGAGGAGCCTTTTAAAGGGTGCTCCATTTCGAGGTTACCTAGGACACAGAAAACTCAAATTTAACGAGGAAGGTTTATTATCATTCGAAAGAACATTATTTGGCATTTATTTATTTAATTTTTTTCTCTTTTGAATGTTATCCGCGGCTACATTTCTCATGGTCCAATCGTTGAATCCAATTTCCGATGACTCGTTCGAGTATTTCGACTGGTAACTGACGTATGACACCTGTGATTTTTGGCTCCAAGGCCTAAATTAATGCGCGATTGTCCGCATAGACTTTAGACTTTACATATCAGGAAAAAGAGGAAAACCATACTATAAATTAACTAATTTAATATTTATTATTTAGTTAATTAATTTATTATTATTTCCTTTTGATTGTATTGTGGGAAAGACTAAATCCCACCGTCAACAAACTGATTTAACCTCATCGGTGTGACTTTAGCCCTGATAAATCCACCATTAAGCAGGAATTCACTAAAATCCTTGGA